CATCCAACAAAGGATGGAGATTCTCCTTGGCTCTCCTTTTGTCGCTGATATATTTGTAAAAACATTTTTTGTTATCCTTCACTGCAGCAGCCAGTTTAAGTTCTAGCTGAGCCTTTGCTTTTCTAATTTTCTCCCTGCATAACCTAACAATATCCTTGTAGTCTTCCTGAGTTGCTTGCCCCTTCTTCCAAAGATGGTAAACTCTCCTTTTTTTCCTGAGTTCCAGCCTAAGTTCTCTGTTCAGCCAGGCCAGTCTTCTTCCCTGCTGGCTCATCTTTCGGCACGTGCGGACAGCCTGCTTCTGCGTCTTTAAGATTTCCTTCTTGAATAACATCCAGCCTTCCTGGACTCCTTTGCCCTTCAGGACTGCCTCCCAAGGGACTCTGTCAACCAGACTCCTAAACAGGCCAAAGTCTGCCTTTCTAAAGTCCAGGGTAGTGGTTTTGCTGACCCCCCCGCAAAAGGCAACGGGCCTGAAGTCTTTCCAGTTTGGCAACTCTCTTATCTAACAATCACAGTACTGAGTACGGAGACTCCAGACATTGATGCCAAGATGTTCAAAAGCAACTAGTAATTTTGGAAGTATCTCTTCTGGTGTGTAAAGAAGGCTGGCCAAAGTTGATCAGACCAGTGTGCTGGCTCTGACAAGGGCCAGTCGTGGATACTGAGAAAGAGTGCAGGAGCTGTAGTCCCCAGTACCCTCTCCCAGCACTTGGCAATATGTGTTAGGGGCTTTTGGAGCACAGAGCTTCGAATGGCTTTGTATTTGCTGGTTTCTCACACAAACTTTTCTCATTTCTTCTTGAATCCATGTAACATTTAGCACCTGCAGCAGCCTATGACTGTGAGTGCTACAGCTTATTTCCATGTTGTGTCAAAAATGCAGCTTTTCTTCTGTTTCTTTTGAAACTGCTACCTGATTTTTTTCATTTGATGCTCCCTAAATGTTGTGTTAGAGAGATGGTAAGCAATTATTCCCCATTTGCTTTCTTCATTCATATCTGCCCTGAGTATTTCCTCTCCTGAATGAAGAGCCCTGGCCCATTAGCTGTTTCTTGTACAGAAACTGCTCCATACCTTTCATTGGTCCTGTCACTCTTCTCTATACCTTCTTCCAGGTCTTCTGTGGGGGAAGATGCTGCAACACTATAGAGAATCCAGTGTCCAGGCTGCCGATGAATTTATTCAGTAACATGAAACTATTTTCCTTTTTATTTTTAATGCATTTCCTTTTCAGTCCTGTCATCTGAAATGATTTCTTGGCTGCCACTGAATGTGCAGCTTCATGAATTAATTTCTAATTCAGGGACCATTGCTTTGGATGTTAAGTTTACACTACTTTTCCCACGTGCATCACTTTACGTCTTTACAACTAGCAGTCTTGATTTTCATGTGCCATTTTATCACCCCGTAATTCAATACTGGAAGAATCTTCTGCAACTCTTGCGGTTGGTTTTCATTTTTATTGCCTTACATAAGGGAGTATCATCACCAGACTTCATCTCACTGTTCCGCTCTTTTGTCGATTGTTTATGAATTTGTTGAAGTGCAGAGGCCCTGGGTCTCTCAGGAACCCATTTGTGGGACGTCCAACTTTGACTTCATTTTCTCAAGTTTGCTGATCAGGCTGTTCAGACAAATAGGTCTTCATGAGCTTGTTTAAGCTTTTTTGGAAGCTAATGCTTATCTCATTTAAAATCCCTCCGTCTTTACCTAAAAGTTGCCTTAAAATGCATGTGTGTCTTTATAGTCATTGTGCACTAAAATGTTTAAGAGGAAGTTGTCTTGCTAATTATTCAAGTTTAAGAGCAGCAGAAAAGTACTGTCAAGGTTCTCCTGAGCACGGTTTATCCTTTTTGATAATGGAGCTTCATACCCCGCACCACTTGGTACTCTGACCATCTTAACTGTACCCTTGTGAGGCAGAACTGGGAGCCCTTTTCTGTAATGCAGACACTTGGATTTAGGAGGCTTATTCGTTGAGTCTTCTTATATGTTTATGAAAGTATGCAATTTCAAAGTTCAGGATGGCATTACTTTGAATTCATCTATACCTGAGGCAAATGAGCAATATATCACATTCTTTTTTAAAAAACAGTAGTTATTAGCCATACAAGATTCACACAAGAAATAGAAAGTATTTAATGCTTTTGCTGTATGTTGCATACTTTCATTTTCCTTACCTCCATTTTGAATTTAAAAGAAATTTTTTGCATTCACTGCTTGGCTCTTATGATTGAACTGTATAACTAATGGAGGCTTTAAGTGATATTTTGAATGTGGTCCCAAGAAATGATTAAGCTGGTCTCTGTAATTGTGATTTGGTTTTGAGTCACATGAAATACTGGCTGGACTAAATGAATGAATCAGGGACTTCTAATTGTCTCAATCTTGGCTTTCCATCTTCTTAAGCAGCAGACTCCTGCTCAGTTTCGGCTGTGCTAGCTGTAAGGACAGAAAATGCCTGGCATGTGGCTGAGGAAGGAGGAAGAAGACATCTCTGTAGTGAAAAATCCCTCTTCTCCACTCTGTGTCCATATTGGTCTGAAAATGTTAATTCTTTTTTTTTTTTTTTTTAGGAAGCAGACTTTTTTTCAGGTAACCCTGGCTATACAGACCCTGATATTCAAGTAGAGGAATTCTCAACAGTAACTTCAGGAAAAGGGTGAGTGAAGTTGTAGATAGGAGTCTCCCAGCAGCAGGTATGGTGAATGGGAGATTGTCACTGAAGTTACTGGTGGACCCTAAGACAAAAATACTTAGGAGGATAGGGAGCACCAATGTTTTGACCAAGGCATGGTGAAATCTTTGAGTTTCAGGAGGGTAAATACCTACAGGAGTATTTGCCTCCCCTCCCCTAGGAAAATATCTTTCCTAGAATACTCTGTTTAGGCTGTTTTATATTAAAATTACTTCAAAGCTGCCTGATTTGTCCTGTAATTCCTATATTGAGCTCACTATAGTTATGCGATTTCAGGTTGGCGAGAGATGAATCACACCAGCAAAGTTTATAGCACAGGGAAGCACTCATGGGAAAACAGCATCCTTGTTTCTTAATTAATCCTTGCCTATTAACTCATGTCCCTGGGGAAGGGAGAAGAAACCTTTGCACAGTTGTGCAGGAAAAGTTACCCTGCAGTCTTGCTGGAGATGCTGTGCAAGGCAGGGGATGCCTCGGTCAGGCTGATGTGCATGTGCAAGCAAAGTGGGCATCAGAGTTAAGTCATGTCTAAGGGAAGCATCTTGTATATCTGCCGTGTGTTTTAGCTTTTCAAAGTTCTATGTCCACAATGATGAAGCTGACCCCGAGCAGAGCTCCTCTCCTGACCTCCCGTCTCTTCACTTTGCGGTCCCTTCTCAGGTAAGCAGGAGACTTGTTACATACCATAACCTCTGCCGCTGACAATTCACCAAGTTGCATGGGTGTGTGCTCACTTGAGTGCAGACGGTGGTTACCTCCTTCGTACACGTGTTCTCCCTGTCCTCAGCATGTATGTGCAGGTGTGGCTGTGCCCTGCAGTCACTACATCCAAGTGATACTCTCCTGTCTCAGCTTGTACATGTAATCAGATATATTCTGCAGTTCCCTCATAAGCTCGCAGCTCAGCTGTAATACAGCTGTAATACAATGTCTTGCTGCTCCAGTGCAGTTCAGTGACTGTATCTTTACTACTTCGTTGATATAACAAGCTGTGCATGTTTCTGTAGAGCAAAATCCAACAGTTTATATGTTCAAATATGGAAGTTAAAGCATCTGCCCAGGAAAAGATGGTGTGTGTGGATATGAAGCTTGAGCGTATGAAACAGCTGTCCAAAGTCAAGTTTGCTGCACTCTTGACATTCATGTACCTATGTCCAGATGTGCTCCCCCCTTGCTCAAATGCCAGGTGATGGTGCTCTTCCCTTTTCCTCCAGGCTTATTAATCAAGGTCTTGTCATGTAGATGATTAGAAAAAATCCTTTTCAACTATATTTGTATTTTAGACAAGAGCTATCTCTCTCTTGGGGTGTCCTGTGCTATGTGACTTTTGGTCCCTTCTTCTAGGTTGACTCTAGAAATGCATTTGTCCACCAGTCTCTGATACATCCTCCAGCTGTATGAGACAACAGCTTAAAGGAGCCTACACACAGAGAATCGCTGTATGCAGATAATGTGTGTGTTCGTTAAATACCTGTTCTCTATCATTGCTTTGTAGGAACTCGGTCTCAAACTATAAAATATTCTCGGTCTTTTGTCATACCTAGCTCATTATTAAAAATAGGAAGAATTAAAAAGAGGTAGAAATAAAAAAAATTAGTGTCTCATTACTTTGGGCTGATGAAGTGACTTCCTTTCTCTTGGACCTCTTGCTTTCACAGCGGCAGAAAAAAAGAAGAAAGAACACACATAAAGCTTCTTCCTCAGCAACAGACAGCAGATCTAAAACACACACTAGACCTTGGCCCTCTTTCCCAGATCCCCAGTCAGGTGAGAGTGCCCCAGTCAGCTTCTCTGCTTCTGGATTTCTGGTTGCTGGCACACAGAAATGAAGTGTGTCATGAAAACCCAGCACTGGCAGAAAGTTAACTTGCCGGTGCTTCTAAGTGCTTGGAGATACTCTAAAATGATCAGACTTGGGTACACTGATGGGTGTAGAATTCTGTACATTTTCGTATCCAATTTTGCGTAAATATTTAGCACTAGTGGATCAGCCACGTCAGCGTTCCTTGTTGACATCTTTGTGGGGCTGAGGGATCTCTCTCTCTCTCTTCTTAAGCTTTCTTCTCCTTTTCTTTCCATCTGCAGAGTTCCCAGCCACAGCTGCTGCCACCTCATCTTCCCACGGCCTTCGCCTCTTAGTGCCAGCTTTTCCTCTGAGAGCTGCTGTGCCCCCCAGCAGCATCGGCCTCATCCAGGCAGCGGGACCCCCAGCTGACTATCACTCAGAGTCTGCTGAGTCCATGGATGAGATTCCTGTGGCTCAGACTCGCCTTGGGAGCACGGCCCTTCATAGGCCTCCTAAGAATAGCTCAAGCAGCTCTCAAGACTATCCCTTGTCCACAGACAATCCCAGAGGTGACAGGAAGAAGAATCTGTATTCTGGGCACAAGGTAAAAAGAAAAAGCTGCCAGCAAGACAGACACATGGAACAAGACCTGGAACTTTTCTCTAAGATTCCTGCTGTGTTTGTAAGTAAGAGCACTGCAG